ACTAATTACCAACGGCAAATAATAACCGAATCACAACAACGGTAAACGAAACTAAAATATCACGATTATGTACTATTTAGATATTCTCAGAAATCAGAATGATCAAGAATGAAGTTCTAGCTAGTAAAACCATTTTCTATAAACAAAACAATTCAGTATGATGTCACGCTGTAGTAGTCATGTCCCCTACTTCGGAGAAAAGATACATCTTAGAAAGGTAGCTCACATGCCTAAGATTTGCGTTCTTCAAGTGCCGCTATATATATATTATTTAGTTTTTAAAGCCCTAATTGCCGCCCTGAATGGGTTAACCAGACGTGTGATTAGGGCCTAAACTTCAGGTTATGAATATTGAGTAGGCTGTACAGGCTATGAATGAGCTGTTGTTTACAAATCCTTATTGAACTCTCTTGTTTCGCGATGTCATTGTCTGTATAAAACTGTGGGCAGAGCACGGAGATCTAAGTAAAATATATTTCTTAAAATTGCTGAAATTTTACATTTTCCGTTTTTACATATATATTTGCCAATGTTTTTGCGAGTATACACGCGTCATTTGTTTACATCCACCAAATGTTGGGGCTTAACTCGAATGCTTAAATCGTTAATTGACTTCGAGTTAAGCTCCCAGCGAAAAAGGGCCTGGCAAGGGCTTAACTCGAAAAGGGCTTAACTTGGAGGGCTTAATTAAACTCAAAAGGCTTAACTCGAAAACTGTGCTGAATGGTTACCTATCCCGCTGCCATTCGACGCTAATGCCGTACAGCTACCGGGGAAATATGATCGGCAGTTTTTAATCAGTTCATTTCAAAATTATACTTGCATAAATTTGCTTAGCTAATTTCGAGACGAGTATACCGGTTTTACCGATTACACAAAGTTTCTGGGTGCTGTTGAGCAGACATTGTCACACAAAAGAGCATTTAATTTTTAGGGATGAATAAATTTGGTAGAATTTACAAATCTGGCATTTTTTTGCGAGTTTATCTATCTATTGACCTTGTTTATATAATATAAGTTCTATTTATAGTAACGCACCTGATTGGATGATAAAATTAGAAAGCCACTAAAGTGCTGAAGTGCACAATATTAGGGACCAGTCATAACTGCTAGGTAAAGTAACTGCTAGGGTGGGCCGGACTGATTTGGGATGGGCGATGGAAAATCTTTGGGCAGTTTGGATGCATAGGCCACGGTTGGACCACCAAACAAAAACCCATATTTACATTCATCCAGGGGCGTAGGAAGCCAGGGAGGGGGGGGGGCTCGGTGCCAACCATGGTGGTGCCTAGTAGGAGTCGCCCCCCTAACTTTTACAAGCTTCCCTGCTTTCATCACTTATTATGATAAATATAATAGCAAATAAGATTTTAAAATCAAACATAATACAATTCTAACAGGGCTGTACACTGCACAGAGACTAGCAGGGGAAACTGCCCCAACGGAGAAAATTTAACTAATTTTATAATGTGATTATGCTTGTAACGGATAATTATGCAGTCAGGAAATAAAAACTTCATGCAAGCAATAAGTGTCTATACAGCCGGCTATTATCAAATTGTCACTTGTCAATCCATACTCATCGAATTTTCAAAACTTTATTGTGATCATATGAGGCAAAAGTTCTGTCACTTGTTGTTTATACTTGCCAATGTTTACTGTTGAGTAACATACACACTATTCGAGGAACATGCATTACTGTAGCAAAGAGTCAATCATATATCGACGACCATGCACTGAATAGTAGAGAATGTTTTGAAGGTCATGAGTGAAGTATATAATTGCGCAACCCTGTGCACAGTTAATGATATACCACACTGTTCAGTTTAACTCAGTATATCCACACAAAAACAATTTGTGTTGTGGAAGAATATCTGTTAGAGTAGAAGGTATCGCAAGTTTAGTTTTGTACATTGTGTGCCATTGATCTTATCCATCTATATAATATATGATTATTGTAGCTGTTAAGTTATTTTCCATACTGATGAATTTAGGTATAGGCCGTCACATAAGGCTAAAAATATGCCTAGAAAGTGACTTTCGTTGCACACATCGGGAGGTTAGTAATTTCTTTCATAAAGTAGTAGAAGAGCATGCCAAATGAAATAATAAAAAAAGCCCCCGTTCATAAGTGTGCACAACAACGAGAAATCGACTATATTCTGGTGATGACGTCATCTATATTTCCGAAAGGTAAAAATGTTCGAATTTCGATAAATGTTTAATGCCATCAGATTGAGGTGCATAATTGGACAAAAAAACTATATTACACTGAAAACTTTCAGTCGTTCGTTACAGAGATATCACATTCCAAAGTTTAAAAAAAATGCTGAGTCAGCATTTTTGTTTCTCCAGTAAAGCTTATATTGACAAACTGTATGCAGGGAAAGGGCTTATTTTGCACTAGTACCTTAAATTGTGCATTACAGTGTGTGAATTAAAGTGGTTATGCAAGCCACAAAACTAAAATGCGACTAAAAAATTCAAATTGTTTACCCGTCATCTAAAGCTTTTGAAAGAAACCTAGAAGATGAAATCTGTTGCACATGTCGCCTGACTAACTAATTTCACCATGATCAGACAATTCTTTTGAAGTAGTTCTGATATTGCATGGTCATATTTTACCAATGCAAGCTGCACACAAGCAAGCCATGGTTTATTATTACTCAACAGGCACATTACTGAACAGGCAATATCACTGAACATCGAAAATCTGCTATTAATTCCACTCTGTAGAATATCTTCTTTAAAACAAATTCATTTAGCTAGTAAAGTTATTCATTCAGCTACAGGCAGCCAAGGGTCCATAAGCCACTTCACAGTGCCTAGCTTTTTCTTAAGCAATATAGAAGCATGATACAGAATTTGTAATTCGATATTCAATATGGACTGTGTAGCACTGTGATTATCATCATATCCCATGTTGTACAAAACCATTGAAGTTGTTTCACATGATCTGTCTTCCTGTATCCTGTCTATACAAATCGTTAGTATAATTCTTGTATCACTTATTATGGTACTTAGCATCAATGGCAACACAATCTTTTCCACAATTTTTAAATAGATCCTGTAGTTGTCCTTTTTCTTTGTGCCAGCTTCGCGCAATAGACCTGCATCTGAAGTCTCACACGCAACAAGGGTTATTCTTCACAGCTAATAATTTTGGAATAAATATTATTCAGGTGATTATTTTGCTACGTGATCGCTGTACCATTTACTAGCAACTGTATAATGATTTCCTTTAATGATAAATATACCATATTGGTCCATATAATTACAATGTAAGACATACCATGACAAACAAATCGGATTGTTTCTCGCATATTATGCATACTTGGGGCAAAACATTTGGAGATCTATCCTTCATTTCACTATTTTGGGGACCATCATTGTCAAGTGACGAGTGTAAAAGCTTCTTTGGTGGAACAGTCTGCAACTTCACAGCCAATTAAGATTTCACTGCCTCATGTTCTCTTTTCCTCCACTTTTTGCAACTTGTTTTAATCACAAAGTCTTTTATAACAGTTCTCATGGTAATACCAGTCGAGTTACCGGTACCTCCTGAGGCCCCCCCCCATTTATTTTTTTAAGTGAGGCCTTATTTTTTCAAACTTAAGTTGGGGGTGGGAAAGAAAAAAATTTTCAAACCATATTCCTTAAAAATAACAAATTTTCCCCTGTGTATGTCTACTATAAAGGGGGTTCCCGAATTTCACAATTTCACCAATTCCTGCTTTTGGGGACCACCTGGTGCAAATTTTCTGACCCTATACAACTGAGGCTCAGGCCAATTTTCCCAATGTACTAGCAAAATGTTTATGGTCATTTTTTGTTGGGAGGGTCATGGTAGCCGCTTCTGGGCACCCAAACACCCTTTGAGTTCCCCACAGCAGTTAGAGCGTGAAAAATGCCCTTCTACATTGGGCTATCTATATAATATCCACATCCCCCTCCTATCGATAAGGTCAGTAAAATTTTAACTCCCAAGAAAAAAAAGATCAAAGTGCTGACAGCCTGACACAAAACCCCTCTGATATTTGTAAATTTTCCCTTACCCCTTAGAACAATAAAAAACATCAAAGTATGCCGACAGGCTTAACTGCACAGAAATGACTTTGGGGTCACCTTTCAGAGAAATTCATGCAAAGAGGACGGGGGGGGGGGCGGGGGTCTGGACATTAAAGATGCGGTGCAGTCCGATCTGTGCATGTGCACAAAGGAGCCCTCTTTTTATTATACAAACAGTAAAAGCGTAATTGTTGTGTCTTGATAATTTATTATACTCTAGAATCATGAAAATATAAATAGTTGTCGAATGAAATTCAATGTTTTGGATACCAACATGTAAACAAAGCCTTTGTTTACATACAGACTGTACCGCACTTTAAACTTAATGTACACCCGGCCCCTATGGACGAGTTCGATAACATTTGAACCCATATAAGGCCCTATAAAGAAGAAAAGATCAAAGTGCCGACACAAACACCCCCCAGAAATTAAGAAATTTTTGCCTTACCCCTCAGGAAAAACGCAAAGATCAAAGTATGCCGATGCACACAACCCCTCAGCAACAGCTTTTTCAACCCCCCTCAGAAACTCTCGTCTATGGGGGGGGGGGGGGTATAATTAAGTGGTGGCCCCATCTTCGCTAGTAAACAAGTCCGATTTGTGACAGATTTTTGGTCTTTGAGCTTCGCCAAATTCTCACGACAAGCAACAAATCTCTTCAGACGCTTCTCTGTGACCTTTAGAAGTGATTATGAAACATCCTCAAAATGAAAACAACGTTTATTCAATTTTAAATGTTTGAGTGACCAACTTGTTTCAGCTGCCATATTGCTTTTATCCGCGCGTGGCAGCTATGTTGCCATGGAAACACGCGCGATTTCAAGATGGCGTAAACCAGGGCGCTATAAAACACGGGCGCGGAAACGGCAACGGCGCCCCTGATCTATGTGTGATGCGCGGACCCCCCCTAGGTTTTTTGTCTCAAATTCAAAATGGCGGACGAGTTAGGCGGGGATTTGTTTTTGGACGAAGAAGACGTCATTTCTACTGAACCAAGCTTAGATATTCCAGCAAATTTTGACTGGATTTTTTTGAAAAACGGTCAAACTTTATTTCTTCAAGTTCTGAAGACTGTTGGTGTTCCAGAGAGTGAGACAATCGAGTCAAATGCCGCCAGGATAATGTCATCGAAATGCGAAGAAAATATTAAAGTTGGAACTGACTTTTTGAAGCAGATGTCAACAAGTTTTTTGGTGTGTTATCAAAACGTTGAACAAATAAAATGCGCGAATCAAAAGATGATGAAGCTGGAGAAAAGTTTTTTGGACCTTTTTGATAATCCAGTTTTAAATTTAAAGTGGTCTTGCTTAGTACGTACGTGTGGTTTGCAAACATCTGATGGGACAAATATTCTTTTAAACCACGTTCTACAACACTTTTGGAGTTCGTTAGTTTTACATGGATCGCATGAACTGAGTGAACAAGGTGAAAATTCCAATTCTGTCCCTATAAATGCCAGCTCCACTGAACCTGAAGATATTGAGGTTCAGTCGGTGAGAGAGCATGCTGGTTGGGTTTTTAAGCCAACCTCGTACCCAGGGCTTCTGCGCTTATTGCTCTCAGAAGCCCTGGGATAATCCAAACCGGAACACCATAGAACAGTGGTGCCCCCGGAAGCGGAAGTAAACAGTAGCTCCAGCTAAAAACGCTGACTGGGCATATTTTTACGCAAGGAGTGAGAGTGGATTATTTGTTGCAATTTATGACATATTTGGACTTGTAAAGACGTCTTAAACTGCTTATCGCGTGGCTTTTGGAATTTAAAGTCAGGAATGATCAATTTAGAGATACAATTATGCGTAAAATAAGCCCTTTGGCGAGCAAAAGAACATCTTATATCGCGACAACAGCATACCTTGTCAGCGATATACAGGGGCTATTCAATAATTAAAGTATAAATATTTATATTCGAGTACAACGTACAACCTTGGTCATTTCAAAATCAACAGACTAGAAATCTTACTGGTAACATGGCTGGCTGCCGATTATCTTGGATTTGAGGGTTTTGAACAAGATATTGCAAGATTTAATTATAGATACACAAGATATACTGTACTATAAACATGCATCTACTTGAAGAATGTAAAATGAACAGTGATGAGTGATCTAATATAATTCTGTACTTATTTGGAAAACCTTTTTGGCAAATCTTGAGAATAATGGCTTTGGGAATCAATGTTGAAAATTGAAAACTGTCAAATAGCTGCATGGACAGCATGGTTAGAAGCATACATGTCATCGGATGAAACTCCAACTTTTGTTAATTGCTGATGTTCTAGTATTGGAATGAACAGTGTTATAAGAACCAATGGTGCTGAACTAATTTGGGTTTATTATAAAATATTGTTTATCATTTAGTTCTGGCCATTAACCTTACCTATTAAGTTATACATTGTGTCTTACTTTTTATTTTACTCTGGTGTGCACCCCCCCCCAGGCTCTGGTCAACAGGGGTGCATGGGGGGGGGGGGTGCAAAAATGATGTTTATCCTAATTCTAACCAACTTATGTTAAGGAATTCAGTTGGGTATCACTAGTTGACAATAGTGGAATAGCCAATATTAAATATTCCAAATTTTTAAATGTTTTGAGAATCTAAAAATTTTCCAGAATGTTTTCTCAGAATGCTGGAAATGCCATTTCAGAGACCCAAATTTTAAAAATTTTCGTGGTAGTATGCCCCCAGACCACACTAGAAATCTTGCACCTTCAGCGCTCGTTTCGCCATTGGTTAGCACCCCCCAAAAAAACTTTGCTGGATCCACCACTGCACCAGATGATTTTATATGTTGGGATAGATCATTGGTGTTCAATGGATTATCTCATAATACACACTAGTTTGTTAATTAACCTACTCTGTCTAATCATGCTAACACCATCATTGGCAATGGAATTGAGCAGTGATGTAGCCAGAATTTCTAATTAAGGCCTTCAAGGGGGACTGAAATCCCCAGGAGGGGCCTGCACTAGTTTGAATAAAGTTTGTTAGCATGTAAAAATACATTTGGACTCCCAAGCTATCCATTTATAATATAGTACAATGTAGACTTTTTAAATTCTAGTTAATAAAGTGCCATTTTGGGGGGCTATTTTAATGTGTTTTGGTGATTTGAAATAACCTTGCAGTTAACACATGTTCAACTCTAATTAATTAAAAACAAGTTCAGAACATTTAAAATATTTTGACCCCCCTCTGGTTACACCACTGGAATTGACTTGAGCCTTTTAGACCTCTGAATCAGTTAGTTGCAACTTAGAACAGTGTTCTGACATACAAGAAAATTGTAAGAAAATTTAAAATTTGTGCAAAAGCATTTCTCAAATAGGTCGTTCCAGAAAATATCCACACTCTCCCCACAGAGGAAATTTCTGCCGTTCAGATGGGGGGGGGGATTGTTTCTGATAATAGTAAATGTATTAGGACATCCAACAGGGTAGGAGGGATTAACTTTCAATTTCCTCTGTGGGAGTGGTATGGGTGTTTTCTGGAATGACCCAATATAACTGTTTTTTTTTCAAATCTAATCAAACTGTCAAATTGTCAATCCTTGTACATGGGGAGGGGAAATTTTGGAGAAAGAAAAATTGTGACCAATCAGGTTGGGGGTCCACCTGTAGGCCTGGTCATTAGGCACACAGGGCTGGGCTCAATTGTTGGGCAGACTAGGCCAGTCGGGCAATATTTACTTCACAGTTGGGCAATATTGGCTTATTATAAAAATAAATAGGAGAAATTATTCCCTCGATATTGGGGGAAATATGCTATATAATGGTCGAAAATTTAGTTCATTTTGATTAATAGTCATTTAATATATGTGCTATCAACAGTTTCTTTATGGTATTAAGTAACAGATTACAATCAATACAATGTTTGTACATTAGAGATTTAGAGGCACTAATAACTCAATAAATAGGCACTAATACAAACTCCGAGCCAGTGCACCCAGCATCCTCAAATTGGGAATAATTTGTAAATTTAAATATTTGTGTATAATTCATAATTTATCCTATTCCAATACAAAATGCAACAATATAGAACACACAATTCATCAAATAAAGGTAAAAAGGTATTAAAAACTTTATTATGTAATATTTACAATGAATATCGTGGTTGAAGTTGTAGATTTATACTTGAAATTTCAATTTTCGAACGAGAAATGTTTCGCTTTATTATGTTAATTTTTTACTCTGTTCGCCATTCTTGCTTATTTACAAATACAAATAGTCCATTTCTTCTTTTGCTCTTTTCAAAATAGCCCAGAATTTGATTTAAAAAAGTATTTTCATGCAAAAACCAGCATTTAACTTTTGTATACACTCCTTGAGATAGCAGACATGTTGCCAAAATATCACCCGGTTAATGAATAACTTCCGCAGTGCTTCCATTTTCAAAATAAAAATTTCCCATTTTTTACATCAAAATTTCTCTAAATTCCTCAGATTGTATACATAATTTCCTTGAAATTTCCTTGAAATTTCATTAAGCAGTTTGCAGTGATTTTGTACCAATACAAAGGATATAGTTAATTTTAAGGGCACAAAATAGCACATTTAAGTGATTCAACACATATGTGGGCTAGGTAAAAACACAGTCTATTATACTGTTTAATATTTGTTATGATTTTACAACATATACGATTCCCCTGATATAATTAACTATTCACAGTGTTTGGCGCCAAAAGTTACTAAATCCCATCGCTCAAAAACTTTCGGAAGTTTTCGGAAACACGAAGAAAAACTTATAAACAGATTTTTATTTTTTTTTTTTTTCTGTGTTGGTGTAGTGTACTCAGGTGAATATGATATTTGTGGTGTTACTCTGAGTGTATATCCACACCGGGCGAGCTTGAAAAATATGCCCGGCCACGGTGGGATTCGAACCTACGACCTTTGGAATACTAGCCCAATGCTCTTCCAACTGAGCTACGCGGTCAGGACGGTTCGAGTAAGTGGTATTTCGGAACAGAATCTAGTTCCTTCGATACCAATGTATTCTAGTAATATGATTTTTTTTTCTGTGTTGGTGTAGTGTACTCAGGTGAATATGATATTTGTGGTGTTACTCTGAGTGTATATCCACACCGGACGAGCTTGAAAAATATGCCCGGCCACGGTGGGATTCGAACCTACGACCTTTGGAATACTAGCCCAATGCTCTTCCAACTGAGCTACGCGGTCAGGACGGTTCGAGTAAGTGATATTTCGGAACAGAATCTAGTTCCTTCGATACCATTGTATTCTAGTTGTGGATATACACTCAGAGTAACACCACAAATATCATATTCACCTGAGTACACTACACCAACACAGAAAAAAAAAAATCATATTACTAGAATACAATGGTATCGAAGGAACTAGATTCTGTTCCGAAATATCACTTACTCGAACCGTCCTGACCGCGTAGCTCAGTTGGAAGAGCATTGGGCTAGTATTCCAAAGGTCGTAGGTTCGAATCCCACCGTGACCGGGCATATTTCTCAAGCTCGCCCGGTGTGGATATGCACTCAGAGTAACATCACAAACATATTATTCACCTGAGTACACAACACCAGCACAGAAAAAATTCATATTACAAGAACACATTGGTATTGAAGGAACTAGATACTGTTCCGAAATATCACTTACTCGAACCGTCCTGACCGCGTAGCTCAGTTGGAAGAGCATTGGGCTGGTATTCCAAAGGTTGTAGGTTCGAATCCCACCGTGGCCGGGCATATTTTTCAAGCTCGCCCGGTGTGGATATACACTCAGAGTAACACCACAAATATCATATTCACCTGAGTACACTACACCAACACAGAAAAAAAATCATATTACTAGAATACAATGGTATCGAAGGAACTAGATTCTGTTCCGAAATATCACTTACTCGAACCGTCCTGACCGCGTAGCTCAGTTGGAAGAGCATATTGGGCTAGTATTCCAAAGGTCGTAGGTTCGAATCCCACCGTGGCCGGGCATATTTTTCAAGCTCGCCCGGTGTGGATATACACTCAGAGTAACACCACAAATAACAGATTTTTAATTAACATAATTGATAAATAATGCAGAGTAAATAATGAAAATTCACTCAAAAATGTAAAAAAATAGTGAAACCTTCTTCTGCACCAATGCAGTGGGATGAATATTTAAGTTTTTCGGAAAAAATCCTTAGATTTCCTTAGATTTTTTCTCTTCCTTAGATTTTCCTTTTGGACCATAGAATTTCCTTAGAAAAGGAAATTTCCTTGAAAATGGAAGCACTGAACTTCCGGTACTTTCATTGTATTCGCATTGACCAATCAAATCACGTTCTGAGTTGGATTATCCCAGGGCTTGTGAGAGCAATAAGCGCAGAAGCCCTGGGTACGAGGTTGTTTTTAAGCGGGTCAGAGAAGAGTTCAATGGTGGACCTCAAATGTACAAAATTCCGGTATCAAAAACCGATAATACTGATGTAGAAGTGGATAAGTACTATTTACTTTCATTAATTGAACGTTTGGGGTATGATGTTTTGAGTCGACCTGGCAAATTTTTGTTTAATGCAATACCTGAAGTTGAAGTTTTTCTGTACCTTCATAATACTGTTGAAAATATTGTCAAGAATCAGCTAGAAACACATGTTGACAAAGAAATTTTGAAGAATTGTTTAAAAGTATTGAATGAAGATATTCAACTACGTTGTCGAGAATTGACAGTACTTTGAACATTATAGATATCTTGCACGCATTCTAATATAAACAGTTCATTATTAATCTCTTATATCGAACACGGTTAGTTAATTGAACTAGGATAGAATTACACTTGCACTAGGATAACTGGGACATTCAGGATAATTTGATAATCACCTTTTTGTTGTATATAGTATTCGCACTGGCTTTTGAGCTTGTGTTAGTGTAAATAATACATATTCAAACTATGGTGTAGATCGTCCTTGATTCTATCGAAAGAACCTACGCTACATTAGATCTCGTTATCGTCGTAGACAAGTTAACACAACGCAAGACAACACTATAGCTTATTTCGATTGACGAACGAGACATTGGTGCCGTGACCAGGATGGACGGTCTAAAACGCGCAAGGATAAAACGTGGCGCTCAACGTGCACAAGCAACTAAAATTTGGAACGAAGCTGAACTACTCATAAACGGTGAAACGAACGAAGTTAATATTGAGAAAATACGGGTCATTCTGGCAACGTACGACGCGAAAATCGAATTACTTCGAAAGTTGGATGAGACTGTATCAGATCTAATCGAAGACGAAAAGGGCTTAGATACGGAGATCGTTGAAGCCGACGACTATTTAACGGAACTAACTAAAAAGAGGTACACCATAGAATTCTTTATCAATCAAAGTACAATCCATAGTAATTCGTTAGCTAGCCCTATGGCTACCACAACACCACAAAACGGACACGTTTTTCCTACTCAAAGTACGCCGCCACAATCGCATAATACAAATAGTCATAGATTACCAAAGTTAGCACTGCCAGTATTTAGCGGCAACGTGTTAAAATGGCAAACCTTTTGGGACTCTTATAAGGTCGCTATACATGAAAACTTCAGCCTAAGCGACATACAAAAAATTACATATCTCAAAGCTCAAGTGTCAGGTGAAGCCGCGCAATCAATCGAAGGTTTACCGCTTACAGAGTCAAACTACGCACAATGTATTGCAATTTTGGAACAGAGATTTGGTCAACCCCACAAGATAACTAACGCACACATGCAAGCCTTGTTAGATCTACCATGCCCTTCAAATTCAGTGTCTACCTTGCGCCAATTTTACGATAGCATGGAAAATCATATTCGAGGTCTCGAGGCGTTAGGAAAGAAACAAGACA